CGAAAGGGTCAGGGGTTGGCAAGTATTTGTATAGTAGCTGGAGTTCTCCACAACATTACGAGATCCAGTGATGACAGAATTTAGTGAGTAATGTTACCACTGTTGGGCACTTACAATGTGCTTCAGGACAACACTATAAATAAGAAGCATCCTCCACTTAATGAGTGAGGCACTCTGGAGTTGTTTAAAATTGAATAATTTGCTCAGGAAGAGGCAAAGGTAGAATTCTAGTCCACACCTGTCTAAGTTCAAAGCTTCTTAATCTCTGAATTAATAAAGAGTATCTTTATTAGAGAGTCCGTAGACTCTCATGTAGTAGAGAATCATTTACCCTCTCTAGGGCTAATGTGGAGAGTAAATGGAATTAAAGATGATAAAGCACTTAGAAAAGTAAGATACTATAAAACACAAGGTATAATTTAGGACATTAAGATTGTGACCAACTAAAAGCCTTTGGTTATCCATAAATGAAAACTACATATGTGAAAAATGTTTATCCTTAAAGATATGCCAGTTAATTTGATATATATTTCATTTATCAAATAAGAAAATATTTTTAAAGTTTCACCCTTGATGTTGGTAAGGATGCTGTGAAACTGTACATGACTAACAATAGCACAAGTTAATACCACCTTTCTATTTTTTTATTATAAATTTTTTATTAGGATATAGTCATTTTGGGGGGATTCATAGTGACAATTCTGATTAGACTTACATTGCACATTTACATTGCTTCCATGGTCTCTCCCCCTCAGCCCCCTCCCCAACCCACTTAGAGCAATTGTAAGAGGTTTTTTAGTTGTTTCATATAGGTATGTGAAGTCCACCAACAATATACCATCACCTTAATCTCTTCCTTCACCATCCCCTCTCCCAGTAGTACCCCTCCCATCCCCGCGCACACTGTGCCTATTTTATAGTCCTGGTTTTCATTATTAATATTTGACTTGATGTTCAAAGGGCTGTCTCAATTCATGCCCACTGTGGGTGTGCTTCACTTTGGTCTGTTCAATCCCTTCAAACACTCTCCCTTACCCCTTTACCTCTTACCCCCCGTTTTTCAACATCTTTCAATACACATTCTTACATCCTCTACCTTCACATCTTATGGTATGTGATATTACTGGTGCTCTATCATTCTTTTTCCATTCTCTCCTTCCCCAAGTTCCAGAGAGTAGTTCCACTGTTGCAAAGATGTTCTACAACTGAGTTTGTATATGACCAGGTTTTGTGTATGTTTATCTTTGGATCTATCTTCCACATATGAGAGAAAACATTGGTCTTTTGTGTTGCTGATCCTGTCTAACTTCACTTAACATGATGTCTTCTAATTGCATCCATTTACCATCAAATCCCATGTCACTATTTCTTGTGGCTGAGTAATATTCCATTGTGTATATATACCATAATTTCATGATCCATTCGTCAGTTGTAGGGCATCTGGGTTGTTTCCAGAGTTTGGCTATTGTGAATAGTGCTTCCATGAACATCAGTGCACAGGTGTCTCTACTGTGTCCTGTTGTACATTCTTTTGGGCAGATGCCCAGGAACAGTATCACTGGATCATATGGCAGTTCTATCTCTAGCTTTCTGAGGAATCTCCATACTGTTTTCCATAATGGTTGTACTAATTTGCTTTCCACCAGCAGTGTATAATGGTTCCTGTTTTGCCACATCCTTGCCAGCATTTGTTGTTGCCATCACCCTTGATTGTGACCATTCTAACTGGGGTGAGATGAAATTTGTGTTGTTTTGATTAGCGTCTCTTTTATAACCAGGGAAGTTGAACACTTCTTCATGAATTTACTGGCCATTTGTACCTCTTCCTTTGAGAATTCCCTGTTTAATTCATGTGCCCATTTCTTCATTGGGACGTTGATTCTTTGGGGGCTGACTTTTTTGCATTCCCTATAGATTCTGGATATTAGTCGTTTATCAGATGAGTAGCTGGCAAAGATTTTCTCCTTTTCTGTGGGCTGTCTCTTGAGTCTGGTGACTATTTCCTTTGCTATGCAGAAGCTCTTTTGTTTGATGCAGTCCCATTTGTTCATTATTTGTCTTAGATGCTGAGCCTTTTGAGTTCTGTTTAGGACGTCGTTCCCTATACCTATCTGTTCCAGTGTATTTCCTACTGTTTCTTGGAGTTGTTTCAAAGTTTCAGGCCTTATATTAAGGTCTTTGGTCCACTTTGAGTTGATTTTGGTACAGGGTGAAAGACAGGGATCTAGTTTCAGTCTTCTGCATGAATATCATCTTTCTAAAAAAAACAAGTTGACAACGTGTTTCAAGACTCTCTTGGACTGGGTGCGTGGTTCAGTGGTAGAATGCTTGCCTAACACGAATGGCCCTGTGGGCTTGATTTCTAGCATGGTTTAAGAAAAAAAAGACTTTATTAAAAATTGACACAATTTCTTATAAGAAAAATAAGTTAGGACAAAAATTTAAATATAGAGAGTTAAGAGCCAGGTGTGGTGGTCCACAACTGTAATCCTAGGCACAGGCAGAGGCAGAAGGATCAAGAATTTGAGGCCAGACTGGACTACCTCAAAAAACTAAATAACCAAATGAATAGATAAATAAATGGAGTTAAGAGCATAGATTTTGGAGCTGGATTGCTTATATTTAAATCCTAGATCTGCTCCTTGTGATTTTGGGCAAGACTTGGTGCTCAAAATAGGATAATAATAGCACTTATCTTACCAAGTTGTTATAAGGATTAAATGGATTGTTATATGTAAGGCGCTTAATCCAGCACCTGGTGAAAGTAAGCACTATATAGGTGTTATTTCTATCTCAATGTTACTTCTAATAGTAAAATCTGACTATACAAGAAAGTGGTTACATACACTGTGGTATGGGGAATAGAATATTATACAGTCATTAAAAATGTGTATACTGAGCTGGATGTCAGTGGCTCACACCTGTAACCCTAGCTACTCAGGAAGCAGAGATCAGGAGGATCACAGTTCGAAGCCAGCCCAAGGCAAATAGTTTGCTAGAACCTATCTTGAGAAAACCCAATACAAAAGATAGCACTGTAGGAGTGGCTCAAGTGGTAGAGTGCCTGCCTAGCAAGCCTAGCAAGTGTGAGCCCTGAGTTCAAGCCCCAGTACAGCCAAGAAAAAAAAAGTGTATATTGTTCCATACCACTTTAATGTTTACTAAAAGAGCACTTTGTACAAAGATGGGTGCACGGAAATTAATTAGTAGGAAATCATATCAAAGTATTAATAACAAATTTCTCTTGAGGCTATATACCAAGACTGTGTCTCAAAAAAAAAAAGTCTCTGGGTGATAGTGGAGGGTTGGGAGCTTCTTTATTAAAACAAAACAAAACAAAAAAAACTTGTGGAGCAGTGCAGCATCTCACACTGTAATAGGCACATGAATCACCAGTAATCTTGTTAGGATGCAGCTTCTGGTCCATGGGTTGGGAATTTTGCAGACCTGTATTTCTAACATTCTCCTGAATGATGCTGATGCTGTTTGCTCAAGGTACACACTTTTGAGTAGGAAGCTTTTAAAGCAGTGTATCTGACCCAATCAGAGGGCTTGTGGAAGTACAGCAGCGTTGCTATGTACTTTCTGATTTAGCTGGCCTGTCGTATGACCCTAGAATTCACATTTCTAACAGCCTCCCAGGTGCTGCGGATGCTGCAGATCTGGGAATCACACTTCAACAACCACTGCTTTAGAAAATTTTTCTTTTCTTTCTTAGCATCATCAGGGAAGACACTAAAAATGTCAGCCTTCTTCACTGCCTACAGGATCAAAACCAAACTCTTCACCCATGATTCATCCTAATCATTTCCCACTAATCAAATCACTATGTCCTAAACACATCTGAGATTTCAAATATCACGACTTCTTTGGAATTTCCTTACTCTAGCTGATGTGTCACCTCCTTCTATTTCCTCATGCCCAAATCCTACCCATCCTTCATGGCCCTCAAATGCTATGTCCTCCTGATCCACCACTATTCAAAAAGCCACTTCTCCCAGCACTACAGCTCCACAGCTCTCCGGCGGTACTTTCCAATCTCTACGTGGTCCAGTGACTCTACCAGTGGTAGGGTATGGTCCCCAGTAGACTGGGAGCTTCTTGAATGCAGGGGCAACTTGCCTCTTGGCTTAGCAGATCTCCCGCGGACACTCAGCGGTGCCGAAAGAGTGAAGGAAGGAATGAAACCTCGGAGGAAGGGCGTGGACCCGTCTAGTAATGGAAACTACAACCGCAGCCCGCCAAGCCTGATGACCAACAGTAACAGGTGTTTCCATCTCTGATGTCTGATTCATTCTGCACAGCTGCGCACGCACATAGCAAAGCGCACAGGCTCGGGGAATACAACGCCCCACACGCCGACGTGCACACAGCGTTCTAGGCGCCCCGGCGACACACCTCAGCGACAACCTGGACACACACACAAAGAGACCCTATCCCCTTAAAATATCAATGCTTCACTGTAAAGAACAAGAAGCTATGGCTTGTGCCTACTTCCCTGGCTGCCCACCGCTCCTTTCTAGTTTTTAAGAAATCTATCGAGGAGTGAGTCTGCATGCATTTCGCGGGAGACCCACCTTCTAAACACACGCGCGCCCTTCCCTTCCCCCATTCGTCTCTTTCAGACTAGGCGCACCTCCCAAGGCTGGATTGAATGGGAAAGAGCTGGGGCCCTCTTTGTCATTAATCCTCCCCTCCTTCGAGCTAGCCAAGCTTCTTCCGGGTCAGCGACGATCACCACCACCCGCCAGTCAGGCCAGGGGGATCCCCCTCAACCCCCATACCAATAACCCCGGAGCGTGCGAGGGTCGGGTCGCCACCGCCAAGCAGGTTGCGGGAGGGGAGGAGGGCGGGGAAGAGGGCGGGCGCGGCGGGAGTGGGGGAGGGAGGGAACAAGGGAGGGGAGCAATCCGAGGAGGAGGAGAGAGCAGCCTCCGGCAGCTGGCGAGGAGAATGGGAGTGCGGGGCGACAGAGCGTCGCGGGGTGTCACGGCCGCGGCGAAGCCAGCCAGGCGCGGGGCCAGCGCCCGCCGCTTTTAAACCCAGGAGGGCGCGGCGGCGGGCGGATTGCGGCGCGCTCGGGGCGCCCGGGAGGCGGCCGAATGGAAAGGAAGAGCTCGACAGCCGGGGCCAAGGGGAACCCAAGCCCGCCCGCGGTCGGCGAGGGGCAGCGGCCGTCTCCACTACTGTGCGTCCCGGGCGCTGGCGGAGGGACCCCGGCGCGGGGCCAGGCCGGGGCGGCGGCCGAACCAGCCGAGCTCATCCGGCGCGCGCACGAGTTCAAGAGCCAAGGGGCGCAGTGCTACAAGGACAAGAAATTCCGCGAAGCCATCGGCAAATACCACCGGGCATTGCTGGAGCTGAAGGGGCTACTACTAGCTTCCGGGGAGCGAGGAGAGCGGGACCCGCGCCCAGCTTCCCCGACCGGAGCCCCCAACCCCTGCCGCCTCACTGAGGAGCAGAGCAAGACGGTGGAAGCCATCGAGATCGACTGCTACAACAGCCTGGCAGGTGAGCCGCGCCCCTGGCCCCTCCTTCTCCTGCCCTCCGCGTCTCCCGCCCCGCGCGCGTCCTCATTCCCAGACCCGGTCCCTCCGCGTCCCAGCGGACCGCTGCGGCGCGTCCGCGGTGCAGACTCCCCCGCTGTGACCGTGCTGCTCTGGGGAGGAGATCCTGAGAACAGGGCGCTTTGGAAAAAGTGTGACTTTCAGGATGATGCCTTCCAAAAGCCATAGTCATTTTATATCCCTTCCCTTGCCTACATCGTTAATCTCTCCTTTAAATGGCTGGACAGGCAGAAGGCGACCCAGCTGGTGTGGCGACCGACTGCTCCTACTCACCAGTGGACTTGGATCTAAAAATGTAGAAGAAGCGCCCTGGGTTGGGTGGAGTGGGGTGGCGTTTTCCTGAGGGTGGGTCTTAAGGGCGCCCACGCACCTGGCCACTCTTTGCATCACTGGCTCCAAAGTTGGCCCTAGGCCCCCACCCTGCAACTAACCGCATCTGGGTAGGTAAGGTTCTTCCCCAAGTTCTCTGGCCCCAGTAGCAAAGGGGAGTCTGCCACAATGTCTTCAACATCTTGAGCAAAATGGACTCCAGAATGCCACTTCTCTCTCAGCTCTGCTGGGGCTCCCGGTTGCCAGGTGAAAAGCATCTCAAAAGGTCCCTGGCTCAGGGTTGGTCTGTTGGTCTTAGGCTCTGCTGCATTCTTCCTCTCCTCCTGAGGTGGGGGAGAAGGAGTATTTCTGTTGGACAAAGAAGGCATACGTTCCAGAGTGCACTTTGGGAATGAGGTCAAAGTCTTTCAACTTAGGCACAAAAAAATTTGTTTAAAGTCTGTTAAAAAAAAAAAAAGGGAAAACTCTGGGTCTTTTCAGGGCCTTTCTGTGAAAAGATGGGAGATGTTGGCTTTATATTTGAAAAGCATTCTGTTCTTTTCTTTCCCAGATTTGGTGGGATTTTTGGCTTGGTTGAGCTTCTCTAACCAAATAAGGCCATTTCTATTTTCTAACCCTTGAAGTTGTCTACCCTAGCTGTGGTGTAGGGTAGAGAGTGTGACTGGGTGTGGTGGGGATGGTAGATGTGTCTGTGGCCCAGGCTCTTGGAAGATGAAAATAAATACTGATAGCTCTGTTCTGTTCCCCAAGTGGTTTCTAGTTTCAGCCTACCTCTGCCTTTCCCAAAATGCCAGGCCCAGTATCATCTTTAATCAGGTGAAACCCAGGCCAGGGAGACACTTTGTATATGGTAAAGTAGTTTGCAAACTTAAAGGAATAGGAATAATGTGATTGTAGAGATGGTGGTATCCATAGCAGTCCCACAAATAATGGCAGCAGATAAAGCAGTGGAACAGCAAAGATGGAACGTTTCAAATGCGTTACATGAATCAGTTTGACTCCTTTTAGTTCCTGTAAGTCTCTGCCTGATGAATAGTTAAAGGGCAGAGCAGCTGTGGGTGGAGGGAGAAGTGCTCTGGATGCCTAATGCAGTGATTTCAGAGTCTTACATTCAGTGTTACCCTCCACATCCCACACTTTTGGCTACCAGCCAATGGCTAGCACTGTCTGCCCTCCACCCCAGAAGTGGTTACATTGCCATGGTGAAAGTAAAGATGTGTCCTTGGTCTGGCCAGCACAGTCAAGGCGGGGCTGAGGTCTGGACAGCTCCTCCACTCCTATCCCCACCCCATAGACACTTTGGAAAACTTCAGTGGTGAGAAAATGGAAAGTAACCCCAACCAACATTCCCCTCTGCTGCCTCCTCCAGTACCTACCACTTATTAATGTTAATAATTTATTGTACACACTGTTAGTTGCCTTTTATACACTATCTTTTAAAAATATAATCTATCTAAAAGAAATATGATCATCAGTTTTATAGAGAAAAATAACAAGGTTCCAGAGCCAGTCCACTCCAAAGACAATGTTGTTGTCATCACACCTTGATTCACAAAGTCAGTGTCTTCTGGGTTTCTGCCTGTCCTGAGCCCAGCCTCAGGTGGGCTCCCAAGCTCTACACTTCAAAAATTCTGTTGGGAGCTCTCAAACCTGGCAGCCAGGAGGAATCATTGATTCAAGGTTCTGACAGAGCTCTATAATTTCAGATGTAGTCAAGTCTTACATAATAAAGAAAAGACTGATTACAAGCTGAGCAGTCTTGTCAAAGCCAATCTGTATCCTTGAGTAGAAAACTCAGCAGCTGGGAGGAGGGTTCCACATAGAAGTCACCTTGGGGGGAATTAGAAGGCTGATGTTGGTTTCCTTTGGGATGATGGGTAAAATCCATTTTATCACTATCTCAGAAGTCATAGCATAGCAAAGTATCCTTTTTGTGGGATATGAAAGTAATACATACCTAATCTATCTAAAAGAAATATGATCATCAGTTTTATAGAGAAAAATAACAAGGTTCCTGAGCCAGTCCACTCCACAAAGTGGACTTTTAGAAAATAGCCTAACAGTTAAAGAAGTAAATACAAAATTACCTTTAACCCATTACCTAAAGAAATTCATCGTGGTGTATTTTTCTGTGTACAAACGTAAACTTTACAAAACTGAGGTACCTAGGATCATGCATCCTGCCTTTAATCTCACCATGACGTCAGAAGAATTTTTATACTTCATTAAAATATTTTCATGAAGTTTGTTTTAAATGGAAAAGTTAAAAAACCAAACAAACTTTAGATATGTGTTTTCAGTTATCACTGGATAGAAAGGAAGAAAAGATGATCAGTGTTATTGTTGTTGGAGCTGGAACAGCCTGGCCCATGAGATATTTTTTCCCCTGTGTGCCTGCTGAAAGGAAAGAGGCCAGCAACTGTAAGTTCATTCTGGAAGAAAGACAGCTGACCCTTCCACTGGGGCTCTGGCACCAGCTGGGCAGTGCAGTGGGATCCAGGCGGAAGCAGTTCTAAGATATGTTCTCAAGACTGTTCTCCTTCCACACAGAACTGTACATACAGTGAGAAGCTTGGGGTTGAGAAGAAACTTGGACTAGCCCAGAAGTATCTAGAGGATTAGGCTGTGTTGCTAAGGGTGTCTCTGTTCTAAACAAGAGGTGGTTGTGAGGCTTCTGGGGGAATACTTAGTATCAGTGGACCTTTGTACTCTATCTGGAAGCTTCCAAAAAAAGTAGCCAGTGGGCAGCTGGAGTATGGTAAGAAATGTTAGTCTTAAACCCCTGTGGATGTCCTGGAATCACATGAAGAGTGTACAGACAATTTGCAAAGTGCCCCAGGCTATTGTCTGTTCTGCTTTGGATTTCCTTTTGGTTGGGAGGAATCTGGGCAGTTGTATAGGACTCCTGGATGGGATTTTGCATGTCTAATGCTATAGGAAGTTCAAGGAAAGAGGTGGGAACTACTCTGTTCCTTCAGAATTGCAAATGGTTCTGATATAAGGATTAGAAAAGAAGTTCTGATTTAGGAATGTGATTTTATGGAAGATGTATTGGACTGTTGATTGACTCTTCTTGACCTTGAACAAGACACAGGTCTCTTCTGGGGCCTTGGACCCTTTGAAGGGCAGAGCCTTCTCCTGTGGGACTCTGATGTCCCCAGCTGGGTTATGACTAAAGAGACATAACACATAGTGGATTTGTTGGTATTTTTAAATGATGCCCAAGGCTCAAATGCCAACAGTAGAGACAGGTGCCAAGTATAGCAGTGGCCCTACAGGCTTGTGCTTTTATTCCTGACATACCTTGTAACCTCGAATAAACCTCAGCTATTTACACCTATATTTGGGAGATTTCTATTTGTTTATCTTTTACTAAAGAAGCAGATTGTGCCTATTTATCCCAATAGAAGGAAAACCCAAGACAGGTGTGTAACAAGGCCTAGAAGGAAGACTACAGTGGGAAAACTCGTGGGGCAGTGCCCTCTGAAACCAGTTTTATCAGTGCTATGGCTGTGTCTTGAAGCTATGGCTCAGGGCCAGTCACATAATTTTCAGGGTCCAGTGCAAATGAAAATGTGGGAGTTCAAAAAGCTGGGGAAGCAGATCATTAAAAGTCTTAAAAGATAAAACTTTTAGCTGGGTGTGGTGGTACATGCCTATAATCCTAGTATTTGGGAAGGTTGAACCTGGAGGTTCTCAAATTCAAAGCTAGCCTGCTCTACATAGTGAGTTCAAGACCTGCATGGGCTACATAGTAAGACCTTGTCTCCAAAAAAACCAAACCCATCGGGGACAAACCAAAAAATAAAGCTTTTTCTCTTCTTTCATGGCTTCTTTCCCTTGACTTGACATGGTGTTTTTTATTCGCTATTTAATGTCATTATAAGAAAATTAAAATTTTCTGTTTTTGGCATGGATTTTGTTATTCATCTGTATTTTGTGGGGGTTTTTTTTTGTTGTTGTTGCTATTGTTTTGTTTTTGATGGGACTGGTGTTTGAACTCAGGACTTTACACTTGCAAAGCAGGTGCTCTACCACTTGAGCCACACCTCCAGCCCATTTTGCTCTGATTAGTTTGGAGATGGGGGTCTCATGAACTCTTTGCCTGGACTGGCCTTGAACTGTGATATTCCTGACCTCAGTCTCCCAAGTAGCTAGGATTACAGGTGTGAATCACTGGTGCCCAATGCAGTGCCAGTTTTAAGTGAAAATATAAGAGCACTTAAATTGTATATGGAGTCATAAAAATTGCACAGTTTATACTTTGTAGCTCATACATGCATAAGTAATTTGTTACTACTAGAACAGTGGAAATGTTGCACAAAACAAACTTTTTAGGCTGCGTGAGGTGGCCTGTAATCCCAGCTACTCAGATAGCAAAGATCTAAAAGATGGAAGTTCAAAGGCCAGACAAGGCAAAAAGTTAGTGAGATACCACCTCAATCAATAAGCTAGGTGTGGTGGTACATGTCTGTGGTCCCAGCTACATAGGAAGCCATGGGCAGGAGGATAAAGGTCTGAGGCCAGCTCCAGGCAAAAATGCCCTAGCCCAAAAATAACTAAAGCAAAAAAGGGCTGGGGTTTATCCAAGTGATAAGAATGCCTGTCTAACAA